GAGAGGGCAAAGAGAAGGTTCTGGTGACCACCAACGTGTGTGCTCGCGGTGAGCAAGAATGCATTCTGGTCTTCCAGGCTCAGGGTCCCAGGCCTCCTTAGAGAAATGGGGAGACCTGGCGGGGCAGCGGGGGATTTGTGGTAACGTATTTCTCAAAGAGAGACTGGGATTACCCACCGCAGATAGTTACTTTCACAGCAGCCACGAGTCCTGGCTCAGTGCCTTAGCATGGAACAGGCTCTTTACAAGGCACCCAGTGAATTGGTAGCTCCATCTCCAGATGATTTTATCAGCAAAGCTCTTCCTGATCTCCTAATTTGTTGTTATTAAGTGCCATTGAGTTGGTTCTGACTTACAGAGACCCTGTAAGGGTCCAAGGAGCAGATGGTGAGCTTGAATTGCCAACCTTACAATTCAAACTGACCTTTTAGTTGGAGCATTAGGCACTTGCCAAAGTTGTTTTCCATTCCCCTGGGTTTTGCTGCTGTGTCCCTCAGTCCCAGAGCTGACCCACCCAGACTTCCCTCTCCAGAAGTTGGCAGACTTCAGCCTAACTTTGGGCAACAATGATTTTTGTCTCCTGTTGGCGTTTCTATACCAACTCTCTTTGGTGCAGGTATTGATGTGGAACAATTGTCTGTCGTCATCAACTTTGACCTTCCCGTGGACAAGGATGGAAACCCAGACAATGAGACTTACCTGCACCGGATCGGGCGCACCGGCCACTTTGGCAAGAGGGGCCTGGCTGTGAACATGGTGGACAGCATGAACATCCTCAACAGGATCCAGGAGCATTTTAGTGGGTCCCTGGGATGGCCTCTGCCTATACTCTTTTTCTTATCAGAGGGATGGTGGTTGGGGATTCCTGTGACCTCAAGATAGACCTTCGTCTTTGCCCACATTCTCCTCCTTTTCCCAAGATGGGGATGTTCCCCCCAGTGCTCCAGGACTCACCTCACAGAGCCTTCAGAGCCAGATGTACGGGACCTGGGCTCCAACCATGCCTATGACAGTGTCCTCTCTATGCTGTGCCACCCCTGCCCAGGTGCCATCAGCTACATCCTACAGGGACCCAGGTTGATTTCTCTTTGCATCTTTTTCCCCAGATAAGAAGATAGAAAGACTGGACACAGATACAGATGACTTGGATGAGATTGAGAAAATCGCCAACTGAGAAGCTCCCCTGGGTCTTTTTGCCCCACCCCCTTTGGTACTCCCAGTATGGGAACATTTCCAGCAGAGGCCCACAGTGACCAGAGACAAAGGCATGGGTAGAAAAAACTAACTACCTCATTTCAATTAAGTTTGGACTTAACACAAGACTCATACAAATTACAAGGTAAGATAGAAGGGAATTTTGAATTTAGAAAATTTCAGTCCTTTCCCCCGCTTTCCTTTCCCTCTATTAATGAAACCTGGTGCTGTTGGTAATCTCTGACCCCTGCTTGCTTTTAGCAAGGGTTGAGCCAGTCTCTTTCTGTCCCTTCACAGGGACATGTCACAGAATGTCCCTTCCACTTTAACACTTGTCTTATTTTTCTTAAAATTTATACTTTCTGCTGTCCCCATTTAGGTCTTCCCTGTGACAAAAGATATCCTGGTTTCTCCCCAGGTGTGCCTTTGGCTATCTTTATAAACCTCAGATGGAAACAGCACAGAATCAGAGAGTCTAGGCTATTGTTAAGAAGCAGGCCTGGCCTTTGTTAGTCCTCTCTCTCTACCGATTGCCTTATCTGCTAGTTACCATATCTGCTCAGGCTCCTGGTGGTCAGTCATACAGTCTGGACATCCCAGTGATTTACTGGACCCACCTATACTGGCTTCTTAGCTATCAATGGAGCTGAGAGGTGGGTTTCGGAAGGAAGTTGTGACCAAGTGGAAACTCATCGACCATGACAGTGGACTTTTATTGGTTACTTGCATAAGAGACTGAAGACTTATATAATGCTTTACTTATCATGACTTTTAAATTAGACTTAATTTATGCTTATTAAAGATTTTGTGTGTGTGTGTATATATATATATGTATATGTGTATATATATATATATACACACACACATACATACACACACATAAACCACCCTTGTTCGAAAGCAGCATGAACATTCCAACATACCACACCGATTTAAGTCCACTTTTTTAAAACAGAAATGTAAATATTCAATTCGTGGTAGTCTACAACCTGCTTTTTTTTTTTGACTATGGGTGACCATTCCAGTATGTAGATGTTCCAGCCTCAGGTAATGCATTTGGGTGATGTCCGGTAATATCCCTAGTATGCTTGTCTTTTACACGGCTAACGCACTCTAGGAGACGTTCCCAGAAGTACATCTGGCCAGTCAAGAAGTTTTTACCAATTTGTTGCTGCAATTATATTTGAAAATACCTGTTACCACCTCATGCTTGTCAACACTATACTATTCATTACTTCCCATTCTTTTCTCACCTTTGTATGCTAGATTGACCTTGTGGGTGTTCTCCTAAGTTTGTCTTGTAACTCTCACTTTTTAATACTACATAAGTTATTTTCATTCTAGATTTATTTTAATTTTCAATTTATCTCACCTCATGGTTAGTACGAATCGTGCTGTGAACCTTAAGGTCAGCAGTTCGAAACTACCAGCTGCTCTGCGGGAGAAAGATGAGGCGTTCTGCTCCCGTAAAGATTTACAGCCTCGGAAACCCTGTACAGGGTCGCTATGGGTCGGCACTGACTCGACGGCACTTAACAACAACAACATGGTTAGTAAAGCTTTCCTTATTCAAATATAAATGCTTAGAGGCAACTATTGGACAGTGTGCTTTCTAGAGTCTTACGGGTCTTAAAAGCGTCCTTTTGTCCGGCTCCTGCAGCTATCAGCAATTCAGTTTACCTGGGAGGGTAAGAGAGCAAAGCTGAGTCTTCGTGAATCCAGATGGGGATCCTGTTCCTGGAAAGCAGTGTGACATAGATGACAGGCAGGATGTGTCAAGGTGGGAGTCAGGGAGACAGAGGTGACCAGTTGAGAAGGTTCATGCATTGACACCTGCTCTCAGACCCAAACATACAATGGTGACAACAGGGTGTTTATTTCTGTAGACTAATAATGGAACAAAAATGCAAAGTGACAAAAAACTTGTTGGGTCTCCAGTGGAGAAACAGTCGCCACAAGATGTTTTGAGCTGTGAGGAAAGGTGTGGGGCACAGAATTTAACTTTACCCGAGTAAGCTAGTCTTTAGCCTAGGTTCCTGGGCGATTACCCTTGGAATTTCTTGTATACTTGAGATGCCTTTATCATCTCTAGACCAGACCTGACAGATTCTGTTAATGAGGTGACCTCAGAGGAGGTGGGTATGACTATAGAATGAGGGCCCCCACAAAGGCTGTAGAGAGGGAAGCTCCATGGGCTTCCTGGTTGCTGACAGACAATGGACGTACATGGGAGGGCTGTGTATCCCTTTTGGGAACATCAACTTCTCACTGGAACTAGAATCCTTCACCACCTGCCTTATGTGCCTTCTCATTTGTATCCTTTTTATGGCTGTAATAAAACTCATACCAAATACATTATTTTCCATGTGTTCTGAGTCAGTGAATTACTGAACCCAGCATGTAGCAGGAGCTAGCAGTGAGGGGGGAACTGGGCAGTTTCCTTAAGGGAAGGAGTATCGACTTGGCCATGTGAAGTTCTGATTACAAAATGAACCCATGAATAGGCCCAAAAAAGGGGGGGGGGGCAGTTGCTGAGGCTATTGCAGAGGGCACAGAATTAACTAGTTGCAAGCTTAAAAAAGTCATTAAAAAAAAAGATCCCTCTGAGTACAGACACCACATGCTTTTTCTTCTGTACTGCGCTTTCTCCCTGGAGAGAAATTACACTATCAAAAAGAGCCTGGATTCTCAGGAGAAAAACAGTTGTTGGATAAAAGCTGTTAATTCTTTGTTCTCGGAGGAGGAACAGAGTGGTTCCTCGAGAGTCGTGGGGGGATTGAGGGCAGGGGAGGGGGCTCTAGTATATTTGTGGTTGGTTGTCACCTGGGCAGAGGCTTGCAACAGCAGCTATGATTTTTAGGAAGGTGTTTTTAGTGAGAAGTAGCATAGATTTCTAATTCACACTTGGGAGTCATTTGTTTTAGAGAAATTTTATATAGTTTTAGGACTTTTATCTTCCCCCTCACCTAACAAGGAATAATGCTTTCTTACCCTGACAGTGGAGTTCTTGAGTGGTGCTGTGGGTTAATGCGCTGGACTGCAGAATTGCTCTGAATTGCCAATTGATGGGTCAAGCTCAACAGCCAACACCTGCTCCTTGGAAACCCTGTACAGGGTCACCATGGGTCGAAACCCAACTCGATGGCACTTAACCCTGATAAATGTCACAAAACACAGTTTCTTGCCTGTAGCTGCAATGTAATTGCTTCCTCCCACCCCCCACCCCACAAGCCAATAGGCCAGCCAGGTGCACATCCCTCCCTCCCTCCCCAGGTTGTAAAGCCTAGTTTCTCCCCCAAAACGCCCTCTGTTCTAGCTGGTATATTTCTAGGCTTCTCGGTGTCCTGCCTTCCTGAAGGAGTTTACATTTCCGGGCTGCACTGAGGTATGGCCAGGCCACCTTTTGGCATCAAGAAAATGAGAACTTCAAAAGAAGTTTCAAGAACCAGATTCGTCCCCTGCCCAAGACCAGAGAGCTACACATCAAGATGGGCCCCTGCCTATGCTAAGCAGAGTCCTGGAACGGGCATGTGGAAATAGACTTTGTTGTTCTTAGCATCTTACTGCAACCTAAGCTAGCCTACCCTAACCACACGTTCCAAGGTCCGTGCAATGGCTGGTGCCCTGTGCAGCCACCCCAAGGGAGCTGACTCCCTTCTGTATACACAACCACCGCACCAACGTTTTTGGTGCATGGATGGAAATTGATAGGTTCATCCTAAATGTCATAGACTAAGGTGAGGAGAATTATAAAGCAAGAATTAAGTAATAACCTGTAATACTGGGGCAAAGACCGATTGTAATAATATCTGTAATATCAGGGCATGCACACATAAAACACACATCACGGAAGTGAAATAACCCAGAAACAGATCCAAACATACATACATAGAGAGAAGAGACTTGAATCATGGCAAATAAAGTGCTAAGAAGTTGGGCTACATTAAAATTAAGAATTTGTTTATCAAAAGACACCATTAAGACAATGAAAATGCAAGGCACTGTGTGGGAGAAAATTCACAACACATGTTACTGACAAAGGGCTCTTATCCATAATATATTTTAAAACTTCCACAAATCATTAAGAAAGAGAAGCAGCCTAGAAGAAAAACAGGCAAAAGACTAGAGCAGGCACTTCACAAAAGATAACCAAATGGCCAATAGCCATAACAGGTGTTAATCCGTGTCAAAACCAAAATGATGTATCATTATATAACTACCAGAATCATGAAAATTTAAAGAGACAATACCATGTATTGGCAAGGATGTGCAGCATCTGGAATTTTTAGAGTGTCAATTGGTATAAACAACTTTGGAAAGCAAGTTGAAGATTCATGTGTTCTATGAAGTAATAAGTCTATGATCTCTACTGGTGCTTTTATACCCATCAGAAAGAGATGCACCTGTGTGCCAGAGTGTACAAGAACATTCACAGCAGCAGGGTTCAGAACATCCATCGACATCCCAATAGATGTGCTGTGATCATTTCCTACACAACAATGAAAAAAACAAATTACAACTACCTACAACATGAGTGGATCTCACAAATAAACCACAAACACCAAAAAAACACACAAAACATACTATCTGATTCCATTTACACAAAAGTACAAGAGTCAAAAGCAAAACTATAGTTCAGAGAATGAATCCATAACACATCCCTATCCTCCATCCGAGACGCAGTTACCACAAAAACTCTGGACAGTGGTTACCTTGTGGGGGTGGAGACAGGTGGGCTTGCAAAGAGGGCACAACCTGCTGGTGGTTCCATAGGTGTTCATTTTAAGATAATTCATTAAGTTCAATTATTTTGATGCCTTTCTGTGTGTGAATTACACACCACAAAAAGAATGCATTACTAATAGAGGGGCACCAACGTCACTGAAGAGCTCTGTAGTGACCGTCCTCTATAAATGGAACACCAAGAATAATGGGATTCCAGCATGGTAAAAGCCAGAACTCAACTGTCCCAGATAAAGT